AAGTTGAACATTTTTCAACTTTYATATGTCGCGTCGCAAGCTCGCGTGTGCACGTCTACGTGTACGAACGTGAAATTTCACATGCACTATTTTCGCAGGTCGCTTAGCTGGAGGAGGTCAAGCGATCGTCGCCTTACCGCACAGGCTCCATAGGAAATGAATGGAGAGCGAGCGACGTTGCCTCCCGTGTGTCGAGCCCTTTAGAAGTGACAGGTTGTTTCTATGCACAAAATACCACGTAGAGCACAGTTATTGTTTGTTAGCTGTGCTCTGCCATGGCAATGGGACAAGGAATGTAAGTTTGACAGCCCTGCTCTAACTGGTCATGGGAAGCGGGCTCATCAACTCCTGATCCAGTATGAAAGAGGTCAAAGGTCATAAAACAAACATCAGTTTGTATCTGTTGCTTTCTAATCAGAACACACAGGAAACGTTAATCTAATACAACTTGCACTGAGACACAGGGTATTACTCATGAACTGATTTTGGTGTATTCGATGTGTTCTCTAACCTCAATATCGAAACATTCTTTCAACAAAGCTTGGTATTCTTTGAGATTTTGTTGGAACATACATCAAGTAATCAGAATTTCCTATTTTAGACAGTTTGTTCAGTGTTTGAGATCCAAGTTGCTTTCAAAAAGGCTTTATATTTCTCCCATATTAAAAATAGACATGTACAACTCCTGACCAGGTTACCACCGTGGCAACAATATCCCAGAGTTAGGGTTAGGTAATTCCCCAGAGTCGTTGCCTAACTCCCTCCACATTTCCGTTGCACGTGTTCTAATTGTCTGTGCTCGGACCAGAAGGCCCACCTCACAGGAAACCCAAAGAAATGAAACGTAAAATATTCGCCTTACCCCAAAACAGGCCCCAGCAGAACAGCTCGGAGCGTCGGCTCTGCTGCCCTGGCAGACTGAGGGATCTGACTGAGCCATCAGTTTGCAGAATCACACCAAACTTCAAAACAAGTTTAAATCTCCCTAAGTGAGTGATTCAAAGCGAATGTCAGCATTATTTCCACAGAAGACCTTTATGTCACCTCTAAGATGTCAGCTCTGCTTGCATCAACACCAACCCCATAATCTCTACAAGTCTGTCCACAGCATTCTTCACTGAAGCCACAGATGAAATATTCACACATGACACATGGGATCGAGCTCCGAATGAAGTCATGATAAAGGTTTGAAAATGATACAGTGGGAGAACAAAGAAAAGTGCTGATTTAGTCACTGAGTCTGCAGGCAAAGACTGTTTGTCTCCATCCGCCTCTTTAACCATCGAAGGTTCATCGAACACTTTAATCCAGACAGGGTGGATTATTTGGTACAAACAGTAAATCAAACTGCAAACATCCAGGTCTGAAAGGTGAAGCCTCTAAACCTGGATCCTCTCTAAAGACCAGGAACCATTTGGAAAAACAAAAACACACACAAATTCTCACCTGGCATCTCACTGAATGGTACATTTGTATGAACTCCTGGTGAGGTTTGAGACAAACAAAAACACAACTGCAGAATTCCAAAAAATACTACATTGTGAGGGGATTCAAGAAGCCTGCGACCACCCTGTGACAATCATGAGAGCAAGCATGTTTTATTGTGCTGAAAATATTAAAATCTTCTGGAGCGCAACATTATATTGTGCAGCTCAATTAGAGAATCTGAGAAACTCTGTGATTGTTTTGAGATACTTTGGACCCCCCCCCCCCCCCGCAAACGCTGTTTAGAGTTTAATGAAAACAGTTGTAGCTGAGTGTGATCCAAGCTTAAAGTGCCTGTGACGCATATTCTTCAGATACAAAAAGTCAAAGAAAACATCTTTATATTTAAGAAAGTTGGAATAATACACAGGATTTAACCCATTTTGTCCCATAACTGGCATATTTTTTTTAACTTGGCTCAGCCAAAGTGAAACAGGAAGTGACATCAAAGGGGAACTCTCTGGTCTTTGTTTATTAAAACAATATTATTTGAACTCTGAATCTTCTTCATCTCTGATAGTGACTCAAAATTATCTTAAAAATCATCAGATTCTTCTCTACAGTCTCTGTTGTTAGCCATTTTAGCAACGCTCTGTTCACATGCAGACATTCCCCTTTGACATCACTTCCTGTTACTTCACAGGCAAATATCTCAACAGCTGTTCATCTCAGCGACATCAAATTTCTTTCGCAATATTTTATCAATGTCCTCTTTCTAAAAATGCATTCATATGTGTTACAAAAAATTGACGTCACAGGCACTTTAATGAGCTGCAGAGAGAAACCCGCCTGAGTAAAAGAAGGAGACAGGCTGTGCAAACGTTGAAGAGGAAAAATCCTTCTTGTTTGTTTTATGAACACTAGGCATTATTTTCTACACATTTCTTCCTTTCAGGGTCATAGGGGGTCACTGGTGCCCATATCCATGAGTCACACTGTGAGGAACACCCTGGAGAGGTCTACAGGGACAATTTAGAGTTACCAATTAACTTAACAGTCATGTTTTTGGTCTGTGGGAGGAAACCAGAGAACCTGCAGAAAGCTCACGCATACACTGAGAGAACATACAAACTCTACCCAGAAAGCTCCCAGGCCAGGATTTCAGGCAACAGCTCTACCAACTGAGCCACCATGTTTTTTCATCCTACAGTAATGTTTAGACAAATGTACTTTGTAAAACTGAAACAGAAAAAGAAGTTGGTTTTTTTGTCACAGTTTTAGTAAACCAAGACTGGAACAATAACAATGCTAAAACTCCTGAGTCCATCTGCTGAAAAGTGTGGCGCTCTCTCCGAACGGTGCATGCAGGGACAGAGAGTAGACCCCAGCAGGAAGTGTGAAACTATCTATGAGAAAACGAATGTCTCGTAACAAGGTGACCACGAGCTGACTTCTTAAATAGAGAATAAAACCATGTTTCGTTGTTCAGAGCTGCAGGACCAACAAACAAACCACAGCACGACCCACGAAGAATTGTTTTATTTTGGTCCAGCCTTGTGTTCCTGCTCCATCATGGAAGTCAAAAACATGAATGACTTCATCTTGTCAACACGTCCTGCAGAAGCCTGTTGAAGCACCAATTTAAACCAGGTGTGTTGAAGCCAGTCTTGTATAAAGTACCGCAAAGTTATACTTGAGTAAAAGTACAAGTATCTTACCAAAAAATCACTTTGCTAAAATCAAAAAGAAAAAAATAAGTAGGTCCTCTGGATGGGTTCTTCTTTAGTGAAACGTTTCGTCTCTCCTCCAAGAGACTTCTTCAGTCTGATGAGTTTCAGGTGAACTCAGCCTTATAAGCACTGCCTCCACATGGTGGGCAAACAGGTCAGTCACATGCAAGAGAGGGCCATCAACAACAATAGGCTTGATTAGCTCTATTCTTTAGTAAAAGTTAAAGTCTCCTTTAGGAATATTACTTGAGTAAAAGTCTTAAAGTATCTGATATTTGTTGTACTTAAGTATTAAAAGTAAAAGTATTGATTTAAAATGAGCAGTTCGATTTTCTGTAATGACATTTATTAGGAGGTGACCTCCCCAAAAATGCAGACATGACTGTATTGTATTAAAATAATATTTTGTTTATGTAAAATTTAGGATGCACTAGTCTGTCATATCAAGGCTGCACAAACCTTTTCTAAAATAAAAATCTATCTGAGGGCTACAGCCAAATACAATAATATAATTCATGAAATACAAATACTTCTTAAGTTCAGTCCTTTTATTTGAATGATTATGTCCTGCTGGAGTGTGACATGATTTGTTCGTGTACAAACTAATACTGTATCAGATTTTTACATATTTATACTTCTCATTCAACCACAATTAAATTCACTCTGTCTAGGAGGCACAATTTATCTGTATAGTATTTATATTTTTATAATAACAAGATGGAATGAAAACAAGCAAAAATGAAATAAAAGTAACGACTTTCTACTTATTGCCTTTTTAAAAATGTAAAGAGTAAAAAGTACAGATAACTGTGAAAATGTAAGAAGTAGAAGTAAAAAGTAGGCTGAAAAATAATTACGCAAGAGAAGTACAGATACCCAAATATTCTAATTAAGTACAGTAACAAAGTATTTGTACTTAGTTACTTTACGACTCTGGTTGAAGCATAGCCTGGTAAAAACCAGACCCTGCCTTTCACTTTGCTTCGTACGAGGGTCTGGACTCACTGAATAGAGAAGGGATTCTTGCAGGAGGCGTGGCCTCTGCTGAAGTGTGTGTGTGTGTGTCACTGTGATGGAGGCTAAGCTAAGAAGCTAACCGGAAATCACATGCGCTGTAAACAACCCTACTGAGAGGAGAAATATACTGAGCCGAACGAGACGACTGTAAATGAGAGCTGCTGGTTTGTCAGACAAATTTAATTTAATTTGGAAGCCTTATCAACACAGACTGGCTTCATTCACTTCCTCCACTGCCGTATGCTAAACTAACTAGCAGACACTGCGCAGAACATCGACGTCGTTCAAAACTCCTCCTTCTGTTCTCTGATTGGCCCGGCTGAAAATCTGCCAGGGAAATCCTTGTCTATGGGAGAAGTCCCAGACGGAGCAGTGAAGGGAAACTTGAATGGAGCGGAGCTACATAGGAAGGCAAGGGCCAGGCTAGTTGAAGCAGGAAAACATCCGAAACATGCAGGCCAATGGGTGCCAAGGACCAGGAATAAAACCAAAACCTTCTCCTGTAAATCAGTTCATTGTTTTTACTAAAATCAATCTGATTCTTGATGTTTAAACTACAGAACAAAGCTGCCTTTAGGCCTATTCCATCATTTTTTTTCTTATACATTCATATGTAAATATTTCACTGTTTATATTCAGTTCTTTAAAAAAACTTCCTTCCCCTGTATTTTTGGCCGTACAATCTGTGGTTTCTCCAGTGCATACTTCTAAACCTCATCTTCTGTTTAGAGTTGATTCAGGAACTGAAGCCAGCAGTTTGGACTGAAGTTGCCTTTTTTTTGCCCCTTGATCTGTCATTTTAGTGTGAAACTCACATTTCCAACTTACCGTTTTTCATCGTTTGATCGTTACTCACTTATTCAGTTTTGATTTATTTATTTACATTCAGCCGCGGGGCTTTCTGGTCTCCTGGTCCAAACTGGCATGTGAAAGCCTTGGCTGCAACAGCTGCCAGGGAGAAAGCATCGGCATGTTAACATAGCAGTGTGAAAATAGAAAGTGAGCTGCCTGCGTGTGTGTTTACATGTGTTTGTGTGTAAATTTACATGTGATGAAATGTCAGTGTTTTTTTTTTCAGCACTTCATTGTTTAAAAGCTAAACTTATTGTCCTGAACGTCTCATTAGTATTAATCTACAGCCCCATAGGTCCACTCCACTCTATTTATCAAACCACTTCAGAGTCAACAGTTCTGACCCTGAATAGAGCAGTCTGACCCTGATCCGGTCAAGGTCAGCGTTCAGTATCTCTGCTGTGATTAAGTACCAGTCCTGCAGCCTCTGCGCTGCCCGGGAGGATGAGGTGAATTTGAAATCAGCTCTTACCTTGTGACATGTTCAGCTGGTTTCCTCCACGTTCTGCTCCTGAAGGCTCACCTCCCTCCCTCCTCTCCCTGCTCCTCAGCCTGCCTGCTGCAGTCTGTCTTCAGCTCTGTCGGTCTCCCGAGCAGGCGGGGGGGGAGCCTGGCGTGCCACGGCTGTTTGGTGAATGCCACCGGGCGGCTCCTGCCATAACTGGCTTCGCCCGCGAGTGAAGGGGAGCACGGAGTGAGGAGGAGCCTGCAAGCATGCCTCCTGTCCTGCAGGACTGACAGAAGGGAGGGTCAGGCTTCCAGAAGCACACCCACTCTGTTAGAATGCAGCCAGTAGGGGACAAAATGTCAAAGTTTGATGGTTGAAGAAGGAGGAGGGATCTCTGTCTTTTTCTGGATCCTTTTTCAGCACGAGACCAACATCTTTACTTCTGATGCCTCCTGATGCCAGGAGTCTTTCCTCTGTAGAACAGAGATGTGTGGTGATGCTGGGTGAGGTTTAAAGTTGTTTTGAAAAAAGTGAAAACTGCCTTAGTGAAGGTCGATGTTTGTTAGCAGGTGATTGATGCTTTTCCATGAAAAATTAGAAGTTAAGTGATTTGTATTGTCATCACTGATCAGAGTTGTAAAGTAACTAAGTAAGTTACCTAATTTCCCTCTGAGATCAATAAAGTACTTTTGAATTTGAATTGAATTGAAGTACAAATGCTTCTTTACTGTACTTAAGTAGAATTTTTGGGTATCTTTACTTTACTTGAGTAATTATTTTTCAGCCTACTTTTTACTTCTACTTCTTATTTCTACTCCTTACAATTAAAAAAATGGTAAGAAGTAGAAAGTCGTTACTTTTACTGTTTTCATCTTTGCTTGTTTTCATTCCAGCTTGTTATTGTAAAAATAAATACTATCCATATAAATTGTGCCTCCTAGATAGAGAGAATTTAATTGTGGTTGAATGAGAAGTAAATATGTATAAAGTTTTGATATTAGTTTGTACACAAACAAATCGTGTCACACTCCAGCAGGACATAGCAGACATACAGTATGTAGCCTAGTACAAAGATGCATGTGGTGGCATATATACAGTATATATACTANGAGACGGGTGGGTGGTGGGGTGTCGGCTGGTGGGCTCAGGGGGCTGGTGGAGACGGGCTTGAGTTGAGAGACGTGAAAGGTGGGGTGAATCTTCATGGTGGCCGGTAGGCGTAGTCGGACAGCGGTTGGGTTGATGACTTTTTCCACCGGAAACGGACCGATGAATCTAGGTGAGAGTTTTCTAGGATAATCCATCAGGTTAATATCTCGTGTAGAGAGCCATACCTCTTGTCCTATTTGATACAAGGGAGCAGCGGAGCAGTGGCAGTCTGCAAATCTCTTGTTCTGCTGTGCAGTACGTAGAAGGGCCCTTTGAGTCTGATTACATACTCTGCGGCAGCGTTGGATGTGTTGTTGGACAGAAGGCACCATAATGTCGGTCTCTTCACTGGGGAACAATGGGGGGTTATACCCAAGAGAAGCCTCGAAAGGAGAATAACCAGTAGCAGAAGAGATGTGACAGTTGTGTGCATACTCGACCCATATGAGATGTTGGCACCAAGAGGAAGGATTGTTGTTAATAACACACCTGAGTGTTGCTGCCAGCTCCTGATTGCACCTTTCTGTTTGTCCATTAGATTGTGGATGATGTCCAGAAGTGAGACTGACCTTAGCACCCAACGCATGACAGAAGGCCTTCCATACGTGGGATACGAACTGAGGTCCACGGTCGGAAACAATGTCAGAAGGGATTCCATGTAGACGGACAACGTGGTTTACCAGGAGTTGGGCAGTTTCAAAAGCGGTGGGTAGTTTTGCCAGGGGCACAAAATGGGCTGCTTTGGAGAACCTGTCGATAATGGTTAGTATGGTTGTATTACCTTGAGAAGGGGGAAGTCCTGTGACAAAATTCAATGCGATGTGAGACCAAGGGTGAGCAGGTGTGGTTAATGGCTGCAGGAGTCCAGATGGTTGTTGTTTGCTGCTCTTATTTCGGGCACAGGTGGGGCATGCTGCAACAAACTCCTTAATATCATGGTACATGGTAGGCCACCAAAAATACCTCTTAAAAAGGATAGCATGCGGGAGATCCCGGGATGACAGGTGAAACGATGATTATGAGTCCAGTCCAACACTTTTCCGATAATGTTTTAGGGACAAACCTTGTGCCAGGTGGTCCTGTGCCTGGGTCTGTTTCGGATTATTGGGCCAGGCAGATCGTGTTTTCAATATCCCAAGAGAGGTCCCCACGAAGCAGGAGGGAGGTAGGATGTTGATGTCATCTTCTGTTTTCTCAGATGATGAAAACTGCCTGGAGAGAGCGTCTTGGTTTGATGTTCCTGGAACCGGGGATGTAAGTTATGGTAAAGTTGAAACGTACAAAAAATAATGACCATCTGGCTTGTCTGGGATTTAACCTTCTAGCCTTTTGTAGGTATGCTAGATTTTTATGATCAGTGAGGATAACAAATGGTACATCGGTTCCCTCTAACCAATGCCTCCATTCCTCCAGTGCCAGTTTTATGGCTAGGAGTTCTCTGTTGCCGACATCGTAATTCATCTCGGCCGGGGACAGGTGACGAGAGAAAAAGGCACATGGATGCATCTTACCATCAGATTTAGCCTTTTGGGACAACACCGCACCCACTCCAAGATCAGAAGCGTCCACTTCTACAAAAAATTGCTTGTGGGGATCTGGGTGACACAAAATAGGATCATGAGAAAAACTAGCCTTTAACTCACCAAATGCGCTATGTGCCTCCGGAGTCCAAGAAAACGGTTTTAAGGTGGAGGTTAGTTGAGCGAGGGGTGCGGCGATGCGGCTGTAGTCCCTGATGAAACACCTGTAGAAGTTTGCAAAACCAAGAAATCTTTGTAGCTGTTTGCGATCCTTAGGAACGGGCCACTCAGAAACTGCTCGAACCTTTTCTGGGTCAGTTCTGAACTGACCTTTTTTCAAAATGAAACCTAAATAGGAAACTGAGGAGACATGAAATTCACACTTCTCTGCCTTGACATAAAGCTGATTTTCATGAAGCCTTTGAAGAACTGCTCTAACATGTTTCTCGTGTTGCTGGAAGTCGTGGGAATAAATCAGGATGTCATCCAAGTAGACAAAAACACGCACATTGAGGAAATCCCTTAGGATATCATTAATCAGGGCTTGGAAAACAGCTGGAGCATTGATCAAGCCAAAAGGCATGACCAAACTCTCGAAATGTCCCAAGGGTGTCTTGAAGGCTGTCTTCCACTCGTCACCCTCTTTTTTCTGAACAAGATGGTAAGCGTTTTGAAGATCGAGTTTAGTAAAGACTGTGGCCGAGTGGAGCTGATCATGCACTGAGTCTAACAAGGGTAGTGGATACTTATTTTTAACAGTGACTTGGTTAAGGCCCCTGTAATCAATACAAGGTCTAAGGGATTTATCCTTCTTGGCGACAAAAAAGAATCCTGCCCCTAGAGGAGACTTGGAGGGGCAGATTATACCAGAAGCTAGGGAGTCGTCGATATAAGTTTTCATGGCTTCTTTTTTGGGGCCAGAGAAATTGTATAAATGGCTGGAAGGTAACTGTGAATCGGGCAACAGTTCTATGGAGCAATTGTACGGTCTATAGGGAGGTAATAAGAGTGCTTTATTTTTACTGAAAACGGCTGCTAGGTCATGATACACCTCAGGAACAGAAGACAGATCCGTCTTCTCGACGGGTTCCTCCCCTTTAACGGAGGCTGAAATGGCTGACTTTAAACAGTTTAACCAGAATGAACTTCAATTTTGTATTCTTTTTTCCTTCCAATTAATAACTGGATTGTGGGTGGACAACCACGAAAAACCAAAAAAAAAATTTGCAAGGGTTCAGCAGAATTAACACCAGCTGTAGCATGAGGAGGAGGAAACTCACCACTGATTGTGGAGGCGGAAACCCGCGGCGTCTGGGAAGTGTAGTTTTTTTCCTTCTTTCGCTCTCTAAATCTATTATCAATACGGATGTACAATGCGATTAGTTCGTCCAGGCTTCCGGGTTCGTCTCTGGAAGCCAATTGATCTTTAAGTTGTTCAGATAAAGAGTTTATATAAATACCTTTTAAGGAAAGTTCCTCCCAACCCGCCTCTTCCGCAACAATGCGAAAATCCACAGTGTTCGGCTGCCGATTTACTTGCTTGTCGTAGATTGATCAGTCTTTTCGCTGCCTCCTCCTGCTGGAGGGGATGATCAAATCCACGCTGGAACTCCTGAATAAACAACTGAGAGGTGAGCGTATCCGAGGAATGAGCTGAAAGAAAGGCTTGAGCCCATCTGAGAGCCTTTCCCTTTAAAGCAGACACAATGTAAATAACTCGGGCAGAATGAGTAGGAAAAAGTGAAGGTGAACGAGAGAAAGCCAACCGGCACTGTAATAAAAAACCTGCACACTGATTTATATCTCCATCAAATAATTCAGAGGGTCGGCTGTCTGGTTCCCTCACAGGAAAAACAGGTGGACTGGGCGTGGTAACGGGAGGTGTAATTAAGAGAGAGTAACATGCAGCAGGCTGAGCTCATACCAAACATGAGGCGATGCTTCAGCAATGAGTTGATCTTCAGCACTGCCTTAAAGGTGCAGTATGTAACTTTTCTAAAAATATATTTTTAATGTATTTGTTCACTCTGTCACTATCTCCTGACAGATTGAAATTAGACAGGTAAGCTATGGGGGGAAAAAGTCCTCTTGATTTCCCGGTGGTACTACAGGCTTTAGAAAAACCCAGGCTTACCCGAAGATGAACAGCCAATGAAAACAGAAGTTTGTTCDTGAACGAGCTTCTGACGCCCACCCCCCACATCACTGCCCGCAGCGCGCATTCGCGCACGTTCTCGTTTCAAAAGCAGCTGTGGCGGAGGATAAACCAACTGCTACCTTTCCAGGATCAAATATTCCTGTAAAACTTCCAATTCCCCGATTGGCACCTGTTCTGAAACCCAACACAGGGAAACAGAAGAAGACCCAGGAAGAAATCCAAGTTGAAAAGAAACAATTAGATCGAGCCCTGAAAAAAACTAGGTGAATTTCACAGGAGGAAGAAGAGGGATGCAGAGTTAGCCATTTCTGCTTGACAAGTTAGTATCTCTGCTTCATTCTTTTTATTTTTAATAACGTTATTAAAAAATAAAAAAACTTATAGAGCTGCTGTAGTACTACACAACAAAGTTAGCGATGGTTACAGAACCACCAGCRATATGTTTGTTATGATATTATAACACGTTAAACGCTAACGTTAGCAGCTAACTCGTTTAGCCTCAGTAAGCTACAGTTCATATTTACCTACATATAGTTATCTTGACTTATTCTGTCATGGATCAGAATTAAAAGCAGTTAGATATGGTGAAATTACTATAACTGTGCACTGCCTCTGTTGAAAATAAAAGTAAATAAAATATAATGATGCCTGATCAACATTAGCGCTTAGCTAATAAGGCCTGCTGTTAGCCCAGGCTGATAGAATGCACTCATGTTTGTTTTTAATGTTATTCACATTTGATTTTTAACAACAGCTCAGCATTAAAACGTGTGTTAGTTCTACAGAATATACACTGTTGCTGATTACTTTTTGTTTAGAAATATAGAAGTTGTATTAATAACTCAGCAGCTGTGGTCACTTACAAAAAAGCTAAAAATAATAAAAAAATAAAAAACCCAGGAAAGATAATGGGTTTTTGGAACTATACTGGGTAACGTTTTTTCACCTTCTATCTGAATGTCATCTTTCTATAAAAGATGAAAACGTCAGTGTGAAATGTTAGGAGTATATTACAAAATTAAATGTGTGTGAGAGGTGAAAAATCACTTCTTCTGGTCCAAAATTGAACTGCTGTTGATCTCGGATGAAGAATGACCAGCTTCCAGCTTCGAGATCCATGGCTGTGCACCATCCTGGAGTACTGGCAGTTTTTCTATTATGTCTGACATGTCCGTGTTCTGCCAAGGTTTATATTCGAGATTCTGTCCACGGATTAGGACAGGGACCATCTTCTTAACGTCTCTCCTTCTGAGGTTGTATCTTCCAGGAAGGCTGCATTGAACTATTTTTCATTTTAATTCTTTTTTTTATCTTCAGCTGCTGCAATTGTTCTGTCAGCAACCGCTGGTTGTCTTTGCTGGTAGCTTGTTTCAACTCAGCACGGCAGTCATGCTTAATCGCCCTTAGCTCTTCTAGCAGTTGTTGGATGTCCGGCGGTTTAGGCGTTACGGAAATGCCAGCGTCAGAGCCTTGTTGACCGTCAGAGGACTCACAGCTGTCTTCAGAATCTGCCTTGCTGGAGTCGCTGTCTAAGATGATCTGCTTTGGCTGTCTTTTGCCCTTTAACTCAGCTTTCAACAGGATATGTTTAATACGCTGGGTGTAGCCTCCCAGTGCGTCATCCGATTCACTATGAGTGTTGATTCTGTCAGAAGTGATTCTCTGGGAACCATCTGCTGTCTTTATCCTCAGAGCTGCATCACTGGTTCTGCACTTCGTGGCTGGATACATAGTGATGGTGGTTCTGGCTTGTACCATCTCCAGCACCTGTCGTACGATAACATCCTTCCTGATTAATCACTGGGAGTTGTGGGTAGATGTTCTCACGTAGATACGGTGGAGGACAAGCAGGTGGAGCAGTGTGAGAGAAAGGTTCATCCACCTTTGTCTTCAGTTTTTCTGGAGGTGGTGTGTTGGACTTGTCGTTTCCTACTTATGGCGTCTGTGTAACCTGGAAATCATCGTTACCCTTATAAGCTTGTAGATGTTTCTGGGATTCATCAGAAAAAAGCTTCAAAATACCAAGTTCTACAGCACGTTTGTCTTTACGTTTCTTTCCGCGCCTACCGTGTGTCTGTTCGGCTTTATAAGCAGTCACTAAAACTTGAATTGTTTCAATGACTGTTGGATTAAACGTACCAAATTTCGGCCAGGGTTGCTGAATACACGGCCAACGGTCATGTAACTTTTTGGATACCTTTTCGATTCCTGTAATTAAGGGATGTTTTTGTTTAATGACATCACCCGGAGTAAGTCCGGGTGAAACCTTTGACTCTGTTTTAGGCATGTTATTTTATTACCTATATGCAGTTCTCTGCCAACCAATGTGAACAAAGGGAAACGAAAGAGTTTACACTGTTGCAGAAACTAAACGAAAGAGAGGCTTATTTGTAAAAAAAAAAAACAATAGACAACAAGGCAACCCAGCAGCTGTCAACTTATGAAAGATGCACCAGTCCGCTGCTAAATCTCCACATTTACTCATTTGTGTATGAGTTTTACAGCTCTCATGAGAAGTGGGGGCAAATACTAACGAAAGTCAACAGAATGTCCCCAATCAGATAGCTGTGCAAACTTGAGTGTGCGTGTGTGTGCGAGTATGTCTGTGTGTGTAAGGATGTGTGAGTAAGGGTGAGCGTGTGTGTGTGTCAGCAGGTAAGAATGTGAGTTTGTTTGTGTGTGTGTGTGCGTATGTGAGTAGCGCAGCTGTGTAAATAAAAGGCAACTGGAGGTGCTAAGAATGTGTGTTTGTGTGTGTGTGTTAAGTTTATCTAAACAGAGAGAGAGATAAGCATAGCAATAAGTACATTAACACTTTACTTATCCATTTATTTATTTATTTATCTATTTATTTATTCATTTATTCATTTATTTACTTATTTATTAATGTATTTAATTAGTAATCAGTACAGGTCAGACAAAGTACAGAGGTCTGCTCTGCTTTGCCTAAGAAAGACACACACGACAGCTCTCCCTACCTCTTTTTTTCTGTTCCTAAAGAGCCTCAGGCCAAAGCAGCAGCAAGACCATCAATCACAGCCCGCACGACCACCCTTCCTACAAGGCTCTGTCTGTCAGGCAAGTTCAGAGCAGGCTGAATTCTATGGAGCTACCAAAAATAGTAAAATATAAAAATAACAATAAAATAAAAATAAAATACTGCAGTCTTTTTCCACATGAACAGCCGAGTTGCAAAAAATCCAATCAATCTATCTTCAACATTAACTAAATTTAAAACGGGCTATAAATTAAATGCATACATTTTACTCTTGAGCGTATTACTCGTATTTCGTATGGCCATGGAAATAACCATGCGCTGGCTTGGTAACATGTAAAATCATCAATCATAGCCCTGCAAAACCTCCCTGTCATGAATTCACATCTTTCCGCATGCCTCACTTCATAAATCAAAACAAGAATAAACAGCTGTATTCTCTTCATTGACCCAAATCTTCACTAGCCACAAAACCAGTGGCCCCTTTTCATACAAATGCCTGCATACACAGACTGAGAAAAGCCAGCTGAGGTGAAAAACAGTTAAGAAATCACTCTTAAGAATGTTCACCCAGCTCACAACCATCTGTCCTCTGAGAGTAAACCCCTCCAACACAATGCAGACTAAAACAATGGAACGTTGTAAAAAAAGTTCCACAAAATATAGAATTTAAACAGAGATCTTCATCCGATCAACAAACAGTCCACTAAAAATCCCCTAACAGAAACTTTTGGTCAAAGCCGCCCCCCCCCCCCCCC